AAAAAAAAAAAAAGAATATTTTATTTTAGTTGGCAAATTGTAAGTATATATATTCATGGAGTAGATAGTGATGTTTCGATACATATAATATATGGTGATCAGATCAGGGTAATTAACATACTGATCATGTCAAACATTTATCATTTCTTTGTGTTGGGAACATTCAATATCCTTCTAGCTATTTGAAACTATATATTATTATGATGAATTCTCATCATCCAACGGTGATACAGAACATTAGAATTTATTCCTCCTATCTAGGTATAATTTTGTATCCTTTGACAAAGAATATTTTAAAGAATACAAATGAATAGCCTGCTGAAGTACATAGGTTAGGTCTGGAAGGGTGTCCATTGCAGGAACTTCTGTTCCTGTGGATTTGAGTTCTCCACTTCCTTGACACGTGGATAAGTTTATCCTAGATAAGAAATCTAGATAAGAAATTATCTAGGTCCTATAGCTCAGTGGTTTTTATGGAGGCTTCATCACATAGGCATGATGGATTATTAATTTAACCTGTAGTCCCTCTCCCTTTCCTGGAGGATGGGACTAAAAATTTCAGGCTGCTATCATGACTTGGTCTTTCTGGTGACCAGCCCTTATCCAGGAACCCACTAAGAGTTACCTCATTAGAACAAAAGACACTTCTATTAACCAAGAAATTCCAAGGGATTAGGAATTCTGCGTCAGGTATTGGAGTCAAAGGTCAACTATTTGAACAAAAACATCTAGCATCCCTATCACTCAGGAAATTATAAGGGTTTAGGAGATATATGTAGTATATATATTTAGGGTTTAGGAGTATATATAGTATATATATTTTATGTGAATGTATGTATGTATGTATGTCACACCAGCAAAGGACACTGACCTGCTTTCCTTTCCCTGGCTCCTCTAGGTGGCTTTGTGGCCCATGTGGAAAGCACCTGCTTACTGGATGATAATGGGACTCCACAGGACTTCACATATTGCATTTCCTTCAACAAGGATCTGCTGACCTGCTGGGACCCAGAGCAGGACAAAATGGCCCCCTGTGAATTTGGGGTGCTGAATGGTTTGGCCACTTACCTGTCAAATTGCCTCAACCAGCAGGACACCTTGCTCCAACGCTTACGCAATGGGCTCCAGGACTGTGCCGTGCACACCCAGCCCTTCTGGGGGTCACTGACTCACAGGACACGTGAGAACAGAGGGGTACAGAGGGGCATTAGGAAGCACAGTTAGGGGAGGGGAGGCCAGGGAAGATTCCTCAGCAGCCCAGGAGGTTGAGATTTGGGCAGGGAATATGGAAAGAGGGAATTGAACCTCTTGGGAAACAAGGTGGTTGACAGGGTAGGACAGGAGTAAAAAAGGGGAGGTGATGCCCAAGCAGTGAGGAGTCATGGGGGAAGAGGACGCAAAAGCCAGGGCATTTCAGGATGAAGGTGGGAGTTCGGCCAGGGCTGTGTCAGAATAACTGCATGTCTTTCTCCAGCATATTCATGCCTCTTTATGCCAAGTTTTGATGTAGTAGATCCGGGCTGGTCCCAGGAATGGGAATATTTAGAATCCCATAGCATTAAGGGTTCATTCTCACCCTAATCTCTTGCACTGAGAATGGATCAAGTGGACTTGACAGTCTCCATAGGACAGAGAAGTGTGTCTCAGGGTTCGGTTTCTACACCTCTTTTCTCAGAATTGCCTGGAGGAGGTGCTTGATAAAAATGCAAGCCCCTTGCTACCACTCAAGATGTGCTGAATGAAAGTATCTGGAGATGAAGGGTAGGGAATCTGATTTTTAACATAGCTTCTTGGACTTGAAGATTTTGTTTGGAAAATACCAAGGTAGAGGCAAGCAGAAGTCTACCCAGGACAATAAACTAGTAAGATATGGCAGCATTAACAACCTTGTTTGGGGGGCAACGTTAATTCCGAATTCAAGAGAGTTAGTAATGAGTTAGGCTTGTTTCCTTAAACTATGTGAAGAGGAAAGGCTTTATTTAGCAAATTAATTTTTTTTTTGAGACAGAGTCTTACTATGTTGCAGTTGGTAGAGTGCTGTGATATCACAGCTCACAGCAGCCTCCAACTCCTAGGCTCAAGCGATTCTCCTGCCTCAGTCTCCCAGACTGCTGGGACTACAGGAAAATTAATTTGTTAAACAAGATTTAGGGAAAAATTTTTTTCTTCAAATCCCAGTTTACAGCTCTGGATTTCTCTTAGCTTATGTCATTTCAAGCTCGTGTGCTTGAAATTAATACAACAACTTCTGAAACAGCGAGCAGTTCAGACCTGACTCTTACTAATTGTGATCAGACATAATTTTGGAGGAGGAAAGATAGAAAAGGGCAATGAAGGAATGAGGAAGAAGAAAGAGTGAAGGAGGAGTGAATTCAATCTCCACTCTTTCAAATGGCAGCGTGGGGGTGGGGAGGGGAGGAAGTAGGTTGGCAAAATCTATGAAGAATTGAAACAGGAAAGAAACCAGGTTGGAGATAGGAGCCAGAATGTCACCCTCCTTCCTGAACAAGTTTTTTCTCCTGTGTAGGGGCACCATCTGTCCAAGTAGCCCAAACCACTCCTTTTAACACAAGGGAGCCTGTGATGCTGGCCTGTTACGTGTGGGGCTTCTATCCAGCTGACGTGACCATCACGTGGAAGAAGAATGGGCAGCCTGTCACCGCCCACAGCAGTCCCCAGAAGACTCCCCAGCCCAATGGAGACTGGACATACCAGACCCTGTCCCATTTAGCCCTGACCCCCTCTTATGGGGACACCTACACCTGTGTAGTGGAGCACATTGGGGCTCTTGAGCCCATCCTTCAGGACTGGAGTGAGTGTATGGCAATTAGGGTTAGAACAGAGGGAGTGAGATGTGGATAGATACATGGTGCATGGTAGAGTGGGAGGTGCTAATGCAGGGAGGGAGTGTGAAGGAACTTATGGAGGGTTTAGGACCAGCAATGGGGCAATAGGATAAAGAAATGGAAATAATTAGTTATTGTTATTACTGCTGTTGTGTGGTTGACGTTGCTGTGTTTGTGTTTGAGGTGGGAAGGGAGTCTGATTGTTTTGAAAACAGGATGTAGGCTGGGGGTGGAAGATCAGGCCTGTAATCCTAGCCCTTTGGGAGGCTAAGGTAGGACAGGAAGATTGCCTCAACCAGCAAGGCACCCTGCTCCAGAGCTTGCACAATGGGCTCCAGGACTCCTGGTCTCCAGGAATTTGAGACCACCTGAATAAAAGTGAGATCCTGTCTCTACAAAAACTAAAAAGAGAGGGGCATTGGTCAGCTCTCACCTAATGTGCACAATGTAAGGGTATATAGCCCCCCCACCCCTGTCCCCACTGCTCCCCCCATGAAGAGCTCAACTACAACTTGAACTATACTTTAGAAACACAAACAATGTAGCCTAATCATTGGTGCCCTCATATTAATCTGAAATTAAAAAAAATAATAATTATAATAAAAAATAATTAGCCAGGCCTGGTGGTAAGCACTGGCAGTCTCAGCTACTCAGGAGGCAGAGGCAGGAGGATCCCTTGAGCCCAGGAGTTCAAGAGTTTGAAGCTACAACTCACTGTGATCATGCCAGTGAATTTTAGCTTGGGTGACAGAGCAAGATTCTGTCTCTTAAAAAAGAAAGAAAGAAAAAAAAGAAGGTATATTTGGTAACAATATTTTCAGAACCCAAATTATAACACACTATTCTCAGCTCCTTGGCTCCTTAAATTTCACCTCTTTTAGGTCAGGTCAGGAATGGGAGTTGAAGAAATAGTGATGATTGAAGAAGAAGGGGGACTTTTCATGTTGTGGGGGCAGTGCTACATTTGGGCTGATCTATCAAAAGTAAGGGACAGTAAAGCCATAGCTGGTAGATATTTTGGAGTATATGCTTGGGGGATAATGGATAAAGAATTAGCTACCACTGTTTGAATCCAGGATTGATAGTAGTAAAGGTAGCAAGAGAAGTTGCACAAAGATTTTGGGATTCTTGGTAAAGAAAAGAGGAAGAAAAAGAGGAAGGGTACTGATAAAGGGCCAGGGAATAGGATCCCAGACTGGCTGCTGAGACTAGGCCTTCCGTTGTGGGAGTGATGCATCTTGCTGGGCAGCTGGGAAGGGCATGCAGAACAGAGAAGAGAGTGGAACTCACATACTCTCTTGAGCTCTCCTGGGGAAAGTCTCTCTACAGGGTGCACAGTTAAGAACTTTCCCTTAGTGATGGAGTGATCATTTTATCATGGGAAAAGACTCTCTGGGACATGATTTAGAATAGGACCAGCTCCAGAAAGTGTGCGGGTTATGGGGTGGGCTGGAGATAAGCTCTGAAAGGACACATGGGAAATCGAGATGTGGGAGACACACTGTACTAGGATAACTCACAGAATGAAACCAGTGGTGGTTAGGAAAGGTGGAAGACGTTTTAATAGGAAACTGCTCTGCTGGAGCAAGGGGGAAAGCCCTGTCACCTGGGGGTGATGGAGAGGGGAGTGAGGAGACTTCTTCCTGTGAGGGTGCTTTTGGGGGAGGGAAGGAAATAGGATGTCTTGAGCCCCATGGTATTAGAAAGGGTCTGGAAACTGGGGTGCTAAATCTGGGAAGAGAAGTTCCCCAGGCTTACTCTAGGAGTAGTCTTGAGAAGAACCAGTTCTTTGGGAGTAGGTGTGTAAGGTAGACCTTTGGGGCTGGGATAAAGGACTTTTGCTGGGAAGAGGCTGTGATAAATTCAGTTAGAATGTTTCTAGTAAGTTTCTGGTTTTTTGCAGCACCTGGGCTGTCTCCAGTGCAGACAGTGAAGGTTTCTGTGTCTGCAGTGACTCTGGGCCTGGGCCTCATCATCTTCTCTCTTGGTCTGATCAGCTGGAGGAGGGCTGGCTCTTCCAGTAAGTGGCCCCCCTGTACTCCCATCCCGACTTCTGCTCCCAGTCTCTGCTTATTTGCTGTTTGTGATTGCCTCTTTCATTCATTGCCCATTTGCTGTGAATAATGCTAGATACTTTCATTTACAAAGGCTGGTCTAATCAAGTGTTTTCCTCTCTTAGGCTACATTCCTCTCCCTGGGTCCAATTATCCAGAAGGTAACATCTCTGTTGGTCTGTTTACCTGCTGGTTCTTCTGTGGGGGTGCCAGTTAGAGGGTGTAAATTTTGGGATGAGCTGTTAGCCAAGGGTATGATTTAAGCTGCCATTGTTGCAATTAGGAGTAGGAAAGAGGAGAGCCTCCATCCTCAACTTCTACCCAGTGGGGTGTCTATGGGGAGGAGGCTGAAGGTGGTTTCTTTGTATTAGTTGTTGGTGACCTAGAATTTTCAATATTGCTGTATTATTAAGGACTCTGGCAAGAATGGTTACAAGACAAATGATAGGGTCAAGTTGGGTTGAAGCCTCATTATCTCTCTCTCTTTTTTTTCATTTATTCTTTAGGACGGCACATTTCCTAGAGGCAGAATCCTACAACTTCCACTTCAAGTGAGAAGGAGATTCAAACTCTTTATGATACTACCATGCTTCTTCAACATCTTTAACTGCCCCTATCATTTTCATGGATTCTGTGGTTTCTCCATCCAATTCTTTGAATTTACCAGCCCTCCCCACCCCCAGGTATAAACCTTAATAACTCAGGGAACTCATTCCTGGGACTATCCTGCAGCCAAATTATTATCCAAGGCTATATCCTGGGGGAATATAATCCAGGGAAGGGGGTTAAAGGCATTCCTAGGGGCCTCACTGTTCCACAGAAGGTAGTGAGTTGCTGGTTATCATTTCTGAGAAATAAACTCTGGTGGAAATGTTGGTTTTTGACTTCTTTTTTCCTGGGGCCCTGGGGAAGGAATACAGGCAGAGCAGGGGCTGAGATTGATTCTCTCCTACTCGAGTCGGGGGGTCAGTGCCTTCTCCCTTTTTTCCAACTAGACAAGACAGAATTTGGGACAATTTTCTGATTTGTAACTAAAATGAAGTTAGAGTCAGAGAGGGGAAAGGGATTAATAGTTTACTTAGCTCATAAAGGATCTTCTGAGGACTAGATGATTAATACTTGTAAATGTCTAAGAACACTGCCTGGGACATAGGGACTTTGCAATAGTGATGCTAGTAGCATTATCAGTTATTCAAGTTTTGGGGCTGGGCATTGTACCAGGTGCATTATTTTATTCAAGCCCCATCATAACTCTGAGGCAGACTCCTCAGATAGCCAGGATTTAGGAGGCAATTCCTAATTTCAAATTTGAGTTCTGGAGAGCTATTTCCTCCATGCCATGAATGAGGAAATGATCATGGCTGGAGTGCTTATCATCTCCCAGGAACTAGGCTAAGTGCTTGGCCTTTGTATCACCTTTTCTGACAATAATCCCTCCCAGAAGGGGCAGACTATCAGCTTCCAACCCACAGACAAAGGAAGGGAGACTCAGAGGTTAAACAATTTGCCCAAGGTCAAAGAACAGGTTCTCTGTTTTTCTACCTGAGCTGGAAGTGAGTAGCTTTATTCTGAAGACCCTCGAACACACATCTTTTCAGGGCCACCCTTCCATTCCCTTCTACCCCAAACCCAAGGGGCAATCACTGTCAGGGCATGGGTTCCCCATAGTGGAACGGAGGTCTGCTATTTGCTTTCCAGTGAAGGGCGACACCTGCTGGATACAGAAAGCTTGGGCTGTGGAAGTGTTTTTTGCAATTAAGAGTTGGGCACTGGAATGAGGGTGAGGAAAAGAAAGTGGAAATGAAGACAAGTACTGAAGGAGCTTAGCTTAACAGAGGGTTGTGGGAGGAGATCTAGGGTTGGGATACGTGTCTGCGTGTGGGTATCCGCGTAGGAACATAAGGTCAGGATCCCATGAGCTGGGGAAGATGGTGTGCCGAGCCTCCCTGTGGGCTGGTTGTGGAGTGTGAGAGGAGGGGCGGTCACAGGGGGTAGACCTCTCTGTCCCTGGACTGTTGCTATGTGACAGGCACCTGGAGTGAGGGAAGCAGCACTCTTCATATAAACTCGATGTCTGTATTTGTTCAGTTAATGAACTACATCCATGGCTTCCCCAGAAGGATTCTTGGAATTAGAGCATCTCTTCTGGAAGCAGTTTACAGAAGTCAACGCGAGGAGAAAGTGCTCATGAATTCAAAATAGTTACAGTCTGAGCAGGGACCTGTAAGACAGGAAGAAGTAGAGTGCGCTGTGCTGGGGAAGTTAACTGGTAAACGTAGGCTCGGAAATTGATCTCCACAAATTTTACTAGTTTTATGTTTCACTTTCATCTTTCTATTCTCTGTTCCTGTTTTTATTTTTGTTTATTTGACAAAGAGAATTCCTTTGAAACTCTATTCTAATCTGGGGGTGGGGCTTTAGGTCTCATTTATGCCGGGGCAGTTTTAAAGGAGACGCTGCACAGCCGAAGGGTCTGGGTCTGGTGACAGTGAGAATCAGCGTGAGGAGACCCCAGGGAAAGGAAGGAGAGAGTCAGCGCGCTGGACGCCTTCCAGCTCCCCCTGGTTCTGGTGCGGGCTTTTCTCTGCCTTAACTTAGGTTTTTCGTTTTATGGAGAAGGCTGTTCCCATCCTGGTGAGTAACAAGAAAAAGTAATTACATAAGTCACCTGGAATTTAGGAAGCCAAATTACAATAGATAGAAAAGGAAGAACATGTATGAACATGACAAGCCAAGACAAAATGGTCAAGCATTGCAGTACCATCGACTACCAAGTCTCTGCTATTCAAAAATTGGGCATAACATGGATATCGGGTTTAAGGAGAAAGCACAGAAAGGGCAGCTGTTGCATTTTCAGAATTTTTAGCATGAGTTTAAATAGGTTAAAAGGTGTGATCTCTAATCCTACCTTCCGAGTTTCCTTATCTCTTACACTTTTGTTTCCCCATTCATTGTAACATCCTCCTTCTGAGATTATGTAATATGTTTAATACTTTTTTTCTTTTACATAGAAGCATTTTTATTTAAAATAAAAATTAAGATTTCTTGTTTCAGAAAAAAAAAAAAAGAAGGAGAAGAAAATTAAGAACATTTGCCATTACATGGGGGAGTGAGTGGTGCCTGGAAGGAGGATTGAAGGATAATGAGACAGAGACAGAGAAGAGAGTTAGCATTGGGCTTTCAGGTTATACCTAATCCAATTGGCACAGTGAATTTTTTTCTCACTTCAAGATCTTGTTTGTTTTAAAAGCTGAACTTGGTTCTGGATGGACATTAAAGGTCACCTAGTCCAACTCTCCACCCATTAAAGAACTGGCTCTGTGTCCCTAAGGGCCTGTGCAGTCAGAGGGTACCTTCAACCCTTGGGACAGGTAACAATACTTTAAAGAAATGTATTGTTCCTGGTTGTGCTGTGGGGAAGGGAGACGGATTTGTAAACCCTGGAGCGAGGTTCTGCCTACCCAAGGCCACTGCTGTGCAGAGACTGCCATGGGGTGAAGCCACTGTCATCATGTCTGACCAGCAGGCAAAACCTTCAACTGAAGACTTAGGGGACAAGAAGGAAGGAGAATACATTAAACTCAAAGTCACTGAGGGCAAGGCCAAAGAGGAGTTATCAGGACTTAGTGGAGCAAGTTCCTGTAGAGTTGCCACTTTGCTGGGAGCAGTGTCCTTCAGTCAAGGTCCCCCTAAAGGGACCTTGCAGGGAGGGAGCCAAGGGATTAGAAACCCTGACCTCACAGGATAGCAGTGAGATTCACTTCAAAGTGAAAATGACAACACATCTCAAGAAACTCAAAGAATCATATTGTCAAAGACAGGGAGTTCCAATGAATTCACTCAGATTTCTCTCTGAAGGCCAGAGAATTGCTGATAATCTTACTCCAAAAGAACTGGGAGTGGTGGAAGAAGATGTGATTGAAGTTTATCAGGAACAAACAGGAGGTCATTCAACGGTTCAGATATTCTTTTATTTTTTTTCTTTTCCCTCAATCTTTTTTTATTTAAAAAAATAGTTCTTTTGTAATGTGATGTTCAAAACAATTGAAAACTGGCGCCTCATCTCTTTAAAGAACATCTGTAGTTTGAATTCTACTGCTCATGCTTCATTATCGTTTGTTTTCATTGTGCTGATTTTTGGTGATCAAGCCTCAGTCCCCTTCATATTGCCCCCTCCTTTGTAAAAATTACATGTGTGCACAGAGAGGTCACCATTTTCTGGACTGTGCATTTCCAGGCTTGTGGTGATAAATAAGATCAATCAATGCAAGAAGTATTCGTAATGACTTTCCATTTGACTGTGAAGTTCTGGCATGTGATTGCTTCACTCCTGGACTGTGACTTTCAGTGGGAGATGGAAGTTTTTCAGAGAACTGAACTATAGAAAAATGACCTTTCCTTAACTTGAAACTACTTTTCAAATCTGAGGGTTTGGACCAAAAGAAGAGGAGTATCAAGTTGGAGTCAAGATTACAGATAAGGTGAGAATAATGACTAACTCCAAAGATGGCTTCATTGAAGGGAAGGCATTTTAAGATTTTTAAAAAATCTGGTTGGAAGGGCGGCCCCTGTGGCTCAGTGGGTAGGGTGCTGGCCCCAAATACCCGGGTGGAGGGTTTGAAGCTGGCCCCAGCCAAACTGCAACAAAAAAATAGCCGAGCGTTGTGGTGGGCGCCTGTAGTCCCAGCTACTTGGGAGGCTGAGGCAAAAGAATCACCTAAGTTTGAGGTTGCCGTGAGCTGTGATGGCACAGCACTCTACTGAAGGAGACAGGGTGAGAGTGTCTCAAAAAAAAAACTTGTTGGAAGATCCCAGAAAATTTCTAATTTTTGTTAGCAAATAATAAAGTTATTCATGCAGAAGTGTATACAACAACAACAACAACAAAAAGAAATGTATTATTCCCAAAATTGAGGTTCTTCTTTTGACCATTAAAGACAATGGGAATAAAACTCATTGGGAGTGGCTATTCTCAGTGTCGTCCCCCTCCCCGCTTCCCAGGAGAACATGCTTCTGGGTTCCAGGTTTTCTTTGCCACTCTACCCATTTATGTTGAAGAAATAGGTAAGAATTGACATTTAATCTCAATGTCTAGGACAATTAATTTTAGACCCATTTTTCTAAAGTAATTCTGTTTCCTAAGTAAAACTGGACGAATCAGATGACAAAAGAGGGAGTTCATTGCCACCTTCACTTTGGTTTTGGAAAGAATGCTGCCAATCCTAAGAGCACTCAAACTGCCTTGAAGTGAGGAATGGGGCTTTTCTTCCTGGTGCTTCCTGCCACTCCTTGGCCAGACCAGTCCCCAGGGGCTGCAGAGAGTGAAGAGACCCCAAATCCTTAGAGATTGCTCCCAGAGAGGGACTCACTGGCTCACTAGACGACTCCTCTTCCATTGCTTCCAAGAGCCCCTGACCAGGCTGTTCTGGGACAAGGATTGAAGAAATGACGTTTGTTATATCAGAGTCTCAACAGAAAACAGATGACACAGTCAAAATAGGAAAGTTCAAGGAGAGTTTACTTATAAGGAAGTATTTACAAAGAAGTGGGTGGAGTATAATAGTCAGTAACCTAGAGCTAGCAGCAGCTGAGCTGTTATTACTTTGAGGTCCAAAGAGGGCAAGGACAGGAGGAGTTATCAGGACTTAGTGGAGCAAGTTCTTGTAGAGTTGCCACTTCACTGGGAGCAGTGTCCTTCAGTCAAGGAACATAGCCGCCTAAAGGGACCTTGCAGGGAGGGAGCCAAGGGATTAGAAACCTTGACCTCATTCCCTTCCTCCCTCTGCTCTCAGGCTGAGGCCAAAAGCAAGAAGAAGCCAGGGAGTACAGAGCTAGTCCTGCCATACAGGTTCAACCCCGGCAGACCCCAGGGTGGAGCTGTGTAGAGGGTGGGCCTGGAAGGACAGATGGAGGACCGTAGGCACATTCCCAATAGGGAGGATAGAAGTCAGTGTTGTGGAGTCGAGAGAGAGGTGCAAAATTTGGGCTTCTTTTGGGCTTGGATAGAGAAAAAAAGTTAGTAGCAAGAGAAAACTAAGTTTGTTGTTCCCTGTTGGGGAATTCAGGAGAATTTCTAGTTCTGTTTGCTCCACTTGAATTTTGATTGAGGTTATACTGAACTTATAGAGAAATTTGAGCGTAATCAATTTCTTGTTATTAAGTTATCCCATGCAAAAGCAGAGAATATTTCCTCATTTATTCACATTCATAGTTCCTCAATTAGTCATCCTATTATTTATAGGATCTATAAATTTCCTTATTTAAAGATCTTGTTTGGTCTTTATAATGGTTTTTAAATTTTACTTTTTCATGGTGGCCTTGTGTATGCTCAATTAATTCTTAGACACTTTATAACTTTTGCTGCTATTGTGATTGGTATTTTATAGCAGTTTTACTTTCAGATCAGTCATCTCAGGTGTAGAGAAATATACCCAATTTCTTAAAAATGGTGTAAGAACACATACAAAATTTACTATCTAAACCACTTTCAGGTGTATTTATTTGATGGTGGTATGCTCATTATACTCATTCCTATTTTCTTTTGATTAACGATTGCATTGCTTCCTATATCACCCTCGGTAGAGTGCTGTGGCATCACAACTCACAGCAACCTCAAGCTCTTGGGTTATAGGTGCTACCTGAACTGGGTTTCTTATAAATAACATATATTTGGTCAACCTTTTTAAAACCCATTCTGCCTTTCTCCATCTTGCAGTTGATGTATTTAGACCATTTTCATTTAATGTAATTATCAATATATGTATAGTTTGCATGGCATTAGGTTGCCATAACAAATATCATAGACTAGGGGCTTAAACAACATAGTGCTACAGGCTGGAGGTCTGACACCAGGCTGCCAGCCTGGTTAGTTTCTGGTGAGGACTCTTCCTGGCTTGCAGAGTTGTCACTTTTCACTGTGTCCTCACATGGGGGTGGAGGGCAGTGAGAGAGAAAGAGGAAGGGGAGGAGTACAGAGAGCAGAGAGAGCACCTAGTCTGTCTTCTTCTTCCTATAAAGACACTAATGCTATCAAATCAGTGACCTCATTTGATCTGAATTATATCTGAGAAGACCCTATCTCCAAAGACAGTCCCATCTGGGGTTAGGACTTCAACATATGAATTTGTGGCATATAATACAGTGTGTAGTATCATGGTGGTGCTTAATTCTGCCATTTTATTTATTTACTGTTTGTTTTCTCTGTTTTTCATTTCTCTGTTTACTTTTTTCTGCCTTTCCATGGCTTGAACACTTTTTATAATTCCATTTTTATTCATCAGTGGTGTTTTTGAGGGTTTTTTTGCATAACTCTTAAGTGGTTATTTATGTATTTCGTATGTATGTAACTTGTCATAGTCTATTGGGGTAATCGTTTACATTTGAATTAATTACAGAAATCTTACCTCCTTTTATGCCCTATCCCTTTACCCTCTCCACTTAAAATATAATTGTCTTAAATATTTCCTCTACATACATTTAGAAACACATCAGACAGTATTACCATTTTTGCTCCAACCATCAAATGTACTTTAGAAAACTTGGAAGAAGAAAAATTTATTATATTTGCTCATATATTTGGTTACCTTGTTCTTTCTTTTCTTTGGTGTTCTAAGGTTCCTATTTTATCATTTCTATTCTGTTTAGAGAACTTCTGCTAGTCATTTTCCTTTTTGCTGGGCAAGTGTTTTCCCACGTCCTCATGTCCATTGACATTTTGGGTAGGGAATTTCATTACTGGTCGGCAGAAATGGAATTCTTAGTGTCCTAATTGGTGTTTTGGGACACCACCACAGGGTGCCTCATTACAGCTTCAAGAGAGGGAACATCTAGGTTTCCCATTTGGTCTTTCTGGTGTGAATAGGAGTGGGGTCACAGTGATTTCTACGGTGTTTGCCTGGAATAGAGCAATTATTTTCTAAAAGTTTTCTATCTTGATAGGCTGCCTCTGTCTTGGTCTTCTGGCAAGTATTATCAGGACTTTTGGTTTGTTTGCTTTTAGTTGGGGCTTTTTGTTTGTGCTATGTAAATAGCTGGTCTTTCCAAATTGCTAGTTCCTGTGGCCCCACGTCTGGAAGATATGAAGCAAAAAAGAAAGACCAGGGAGCTCACTACTGCATCCTCACTACTGTATCAGTCCTCGGGCCTTGAGGTCCTAGCTGAGCTGCCTTCTCTGCTCCACCTTTCTATATAATGTCCAGGTGTTTTAATCGTACTTAGTGAGAGGAATAGAAAAAAAATAAGTCTATTCCATTTTCCAGAAGCAGAATCCTAGTGTAGGACTACAACTTTCACCAAACTAGTAGTTTCCCTTTTATTTCTAGTTTTCTAAGAATTTTTAAGATAGATTTTAAAAATTCTTAGTTTTCTAGAATTGATTTATTTCATTACCTGTGTTTTTCCTCTTAATCCCCTAATATAGCGAATTATATATTGAGAGTTTTGTTGATATAAAAATCTTTGCATTCCTAAACCCTATTTATTCATCCTGTAGTTACACAATAACTATTGGTTTTATTTAGTTAACATTTTACTTAGGGTGTTATATTTGTTTTTAAAAAGCGTGGACATATAACTTGCCTTTCTTGTATTTCCTTGTTTGTTTTTGTAATAAAAATTCCTCTATATGATAAGCTGGGAAGATTTCGTTTTTTATTCTATTTTCTGGAACAACATACATGTATATAAATATCTTCTCAAAGACCAGCTTTCGTTCTCATTAATCTTTTGCTGCTTTTAGTTTTCTATTTACTCGATCTCTATTCATATCTTTATTATTTCCTTCCTTCTTTAGCTTTATTCTGTTCCTCTTTTCCTCACTTTTGAGTTGAATGCTTATCTCATTTGATTTTAACTTTTTGTTTTGTTTCCTGAGAAGTGTATTTAAAGGTAAAAAATTTCCCTTTAAGTTCTGCTTTAATATCTCCAGCACATTTTGATATGTAGTGTTTTAATTGTTATTTAATTTTAAGTGTTGTTTACTTTATTTTTTCTTTTAACTCAAGGTTATTTATGACATTTTAACACTTTTTATTGTGAAGCAATTTTAACCTTGTAGAAAAGTTACAAGAATAGTACAAAGAATTGTTATATACACTTGTCCAAGTTCAATAATTTTTAACATTTTGCCACATTTGCTTTCTTTTTCTCCCCATCTCTGATTGTCTTTCTAATGTTTTTTTCTCACCATTTTAGAGCAAGTTGAAGACATTATGCCTTTTCCCAGCTAAATATTTCAATCTACTTCCTAAAACATTGTCTTACATAAACACATGGGAATGCTCATATTCAGGAAATTTAACTTGGATATAATGTTATCCACAGTAAATATTTAAATTTCACCAGTTCTCCCAATAAAAATCATTGTAGCTTTCCTCACTCCCCAGTCTTCTGCCCTGCAATCCAGAATCATGCATTTCACTAAGTTTCATGAATCTTTAGTCAGGTTTAATCTGGAAGAGCCTATCAGTTTCTTATTTATTGAGGTCTTTAACTTAAATAGTTTGAACTTAAATCATTTTATTGTTTTGGCCTTTAAGAGCCTGGCTTTTGTCTTGATCTATTAATAGTTTATCTACAAGTTTTTGAAAGGGGTTTGCAAAAATCCAAATGCATTTTTAAAAAATCAACTTCTACCTATAGTTCTTTTAGTTATTGCTTTATAAATTGTGAGGCTGTATTGTTGAGTCTATATTTCTTTATGATTACTATATCTTCTTGCTCTATTGTGTCTTTTTAAATTATGCAAACATCTTTTCTTTTGTCCTTTATGCACTTTATTTTTATTCATTCTTTTTTTTTAGAAACAGAGTCTTAAGCTGTCGCCCTGGATAGAGTGCTGTGGCGTCACAGCTCATGGCAACCTGCAAACTCTGGGCGTAAGCAATTCTCTTGCCTCAGCCTCCCAAGTAGCTGGGACTACAGGCACCTGCCACAATGCCTGGCTATTTTTTTGGTTGTAGTTGTCATTGTTGTTTGGTGGCCAGGGCTGGATTCGAACCTGCCAGCTCTGGTGTATGTGGCTGGTGCCCTAGCCGCTTGAGCTACAGGCGCCGAGCCACATGTAC